AACCCTTTATAATCTCACTATATAGCAAACCTATATAGCACATCTTATATTCAGCCACTCAGAATTATTTTTAGTTCCCTACAATATGAACTGAAGTTTAAGTGACCCTCGCCATTCTTCCACTTTGAAATTTCATCCCACCCTTCAAGATCTCTCTTAAATACTACATCCCAATGAGTTTTTCCCAGCAAACAGAAACATTTATGGTTCATCCACTATCTGTCACAAGCATTGATAGGAATTAGAATCTCCTCCCTGTTTCACTGGTACTTTGTGTGTTTTCAGATCATATAATCATAATCTCTCTGTAGTATCAGAATCTTCTGTATGCATTTTTCTTCTCCACTGGAGATTTTTTCCATCCTCAGACTTAATAGTGTTTTGCTGATCTTGTACAATCATTATCATTTAAACAGTATGGAAGAGAGTAAATACTCAAGTATTCACTGAAGTATTGATATTCACTGAGGTTATATCATGGGAAAGGAATTCTAAGATCTGTGAGGCTCTCATCTGGAAATTACGGTTGAAATGCTCTATAAAAAATATGTGATAACGTTGGGAAAACTGTGATACTCATCTTAACTTCAGTTGGTCCTTAGATCTGAGGTTAGTAAAAAAACCAGACACAAACACCTACATGGTCAACTGATTTTCGATGAGGGTTCCAAGACCACAACTCTATGGGGAAAGAACCATCTTGTCAACAAATGGTGCTGGAACTGGACTGTCACATGCAAAAAAATGAAGCTGAACCCTTACCTCATACCATATACAAAAATTAGCTCAAAATATATAAAAAATCTAAATGTAAGAGCTAAAACTATAAAACTCTTAGAAGAAAACACAGGGTAAATCTTCATGACCCTGGATTTGTATGATCAAGAGAAAAAAATAGATAATAAATTAGACTGCATAAAAGTTTTAAAGGCTTGTGTTTCAAAAGACCTCATCAAACTATGAAAAGATAAACCACATAATTAGAGAAAATATTTGTAAATCACATACCTGATAAGGAACTTGTATCGAGAACATATAAAGAACTCTAACAACAATAAAAAGATAACCCAATTAAAAAACGAGCAAAGGATATGAACAGGCATTTCTCCAAAGAAGATATACAAATGGCCAATAATCACATGAAAAGATGTGTGACATCATTAGTCACTAAGAAAATGCAAATCAAAACCACAATGAGATACCATGTACACCCATTAGGACGGAGAGAATCCAAAAGTCAGATAATAGCAAGTGATGAGTATGTGAAGAAATTCATATACTCACAACCAAGACTGGATGGAATGTAAAATGGTGCAGACACTTTGGGAGACCAGTCTGGCAATTCTCCAAATGATTAAACATAGAGTAACATATTACCCAGCAATTTTACTTGTTTGTGAATGTTTACAATAGCATTATTCATAATAGCCAAAAGCTGAAAACAACCCAAATGTCCATCAACTGAAAAATGGATAAACAAAACGTGGTATAGCTATACAATAGAATATTTTGTCACAAAAAGGAATGAAGTACTGATACATGCTATAGACCTTGAAACTATTATGCTAATTTTGAAAAAGCCAGTCACAAAAGCCCACATATTACATGATTCCATTCGTATAAAGTCCAGAATAGAGAAATCTATAGAGACAGCAGTGGTTGCTTAGGGTTGGAGGCAGAGGGGATGGAAGAATGGGGGCTGGTGGGATGAGCGAGAGCTAAAAGGTACAGGTTCTTGAGGTGATAAAAGTGTTCTAAAACTGATTGTGCTGATGGTAACACATCTGTGAATATACTAAAAACCATTAAATTGTACACATTAAATGGGTGAATTGTATGGTATGTGAGTTATAACGTGATAAAGCTGTTTAAAAAAAAAGAACCAGGTATGTAATATAAATTCTTGACTTTTTTCTTTAAAAAAGTGCTATCTACTACTCCATACAAAAACGTGCTTAAAGGTCAAGCACCTTTAAACTTAAGGTTGTACATCATTTAAGGAAAAAGCACTATTAGTAAACAATTTAAAGCCTTGCCTCTCAGGTACCAAAAAAGAACAAGCTTTTACCAGATTCTTTCCATTTTCATTCCCTTTCCTTCCCCAGCCCAGCCCCCCACCACTTTCTTGTTTCACAGTCACAACAGAAACATATAGTAAGGGTTTGAAATATGTTTTATTTATTGAATATAGCTCTATGTGAACATTCTTTATTTTGAAGGAGTTTAATATTGTGTTTAAAAATACACACAGATATGCTAATACACAGATTACTAATGCACGGTCATTACAAGCTGAACAATTATGCCTTTGAAGCTATCTACAATTTGATTTTCACTTATATAGACTTGAATTGCTTTCTCTCCCAAATCAAATGCCCTCAAATGAAAAGGTTTCCATATGAATAACATAATTTTTTAAACACTGACTTACTTATTTTCTAAATTAAAAGACATCAGGCTGGCTGGTTAGCTCAGCTGGTTAGAGCACAGTGTTTTAATACTAAGGTCAAGGGTTCATCTCCCAAATCAAATGCCCTCAAATGAAAAGGTTTCCATATGAATAACATAATTTTTTAAACACTGACTTACTTATTTTCTAAATTAAAAGACATTAGGCTGGCTGGTTAGCTCAGCTGGTTAGAGCACAGTGTTTTAATACTAAGGTCAAGGGTTCAGATTCCTGAACTGGCCAGCTGCCAAAAAAAAAAAGCAGCAAATAAATTAAAAGACATTCATTTATATGTCTTACTTTCAATTTACATTTTAGGTAATATATATTTTCTGTATATATTATATTCAAGGTAATAACTACTCAAGGCAGATGATCTGCATCAGAATCACCTAGAGCTTTGTAACTCAGTATTGTCTAGGGACCAGAAGCACTGTCATCAGGAAAGCTTGTTAAAAATGCAGAATATTGGGCCCTACTCCCACCCTACATAATCACAATTTGCACTTCAACAAGATCCCTAGGTAACTTACTAGACATACAGATTCCAATGAGGCACAGGCATCTGCATTTTAAAAATGAACACTGTGGATTCTTCTGCACACTAAAGTTTGAGAAGCACTGTTTTAAAAAAAAAAAGTGGAGTATGAAAGAGCATTTCTTTACAGCAATTTTGGTATACTAGGAAATATTGCTATATACCCTTCCCCAAACAGTTTAAAAAGAAAAAAAATCTGAATTTACAAATCTCACAGCCATACCACCTTCTTAAAATTAATAAACTGAATGAATTTATGAAATAAGGGGTTTAAATGAACTTTTTTACAACTTTCACAGTGCATTAACCGAGATAATTTTAAAGTATTCATAATCAAACTTTGTAGACTTTTACTTAAAAAGTCCCATCCACATGGGAAATACAGATTATAATTCCTTTTACTAAATTCTAAACGACCTCAATCAAACAGAATGCTCAGTGTTCACAGTATCCTAGTTCACACTAGGTCAATCAAATTTGTTCTGATCCTTGCTGGTGGAAAACCTTTGTATCCCCTAAAGGGAATACAGGTTTTAGGATTCTGCAGACAATTTACTTTCAACACCTACTAAGATTGCCGTATACTATGTATAGAGTTAAAAGGATACGAACCCCTCAAAATACATTCTGCAAAATAATTTTTACCAATTCTTAGGAGATCCCGGTTTTGACAATTAATCCAGCAAACATTTATTAAATGCAAGTATTCGAAATTTCTGAGGAACAGAAAGATGATCAAGGCACTATCTATCTCTAGCCCCAGAAAGGCTATAATCTGAGCGGAGGGAGTGGTTGGCTTGGACACTGCACATACAATTAGCAGAATGTGGTCAATGCTGAAAACGTTATCGGAAGTTCCCAGTTTCAGGTAACCGAATTTCGGATAATGGATATTTTACAGTAATTTCCAATTGATTTGATGCACAGTTGAACAAGCCAGGAAAGCTTACTAAAAAGCACTTTATAGGGAAGCACAGCCCGAGGTAATCAATCCTCTGGGAAATTTGCTTACATTTTAATCCCCATGAACACACTTAAAATTAGGCTACGAGGTGTGTGTGCTCTCATCAAATGCAAAGCAATTCAAACGTGAACTGGATATAGGAGGGCCCAATACAGCTAAATTCATTAAGAGTGTTTCCTTTGACAAAAACAGGAAGACTCAGCTGCAGAGATCGCTGACCATGCGAGCAAAGAGGAAAAAGGAGTGGAGATCTGTTTCTACTCCCCCCCGCCCCCCCGTACCTTTAAACACACACACACACACACACACACACACACACACACGCACACGCACGCACCAAAAAAAACAAAAAAACAGCAACAAACAAACCCACAGCAATTTCCTGGATTACTCTATCCCTTCAACTTTATGAACACCTTGGCCCCTAAAAGTCTAGTAACTAAAGACAGACAAAAACGGGCAAATGCATTTACCTACTTAGTTCAAAAGAGAGGGAACTCCCTCAAGGGGAAGTAGCAGTCCATGAAGGGCCAGGACTGGGAAAAGTGCACACACACGAACCCTACGGACCCGTGGCCCCTCAGAGCTCAATTCATTGCTCTCTGTTTTCAGGAGAACACTTCTCCCATGGGAAGTGAAAAGCAAGCACCCCTCCAAAGGAGCTACAGAAGCCCCCGGGGAGCGCGGTGACGTTTACTGGGACCCAGGGCAAGATCTTGGCCCTGGAAGAACAGGGGCAACTGACACCCAGAAAGGCCAGCTGAGCGGGGAAAGATCGCTGCGAAGCTCCGTCCAGTCTCGGCCCCTCAGGGAATTAGGTCGGCCCCCCAGGCCCGTAGGCTGGTCTCCTAAGGAGGCCTTGCCGCCCAGGCCAAGTTGCGGCCCGCTGACAGGCACCAGAGGTGGGGGTCCTAGTCACAGGTGTCACCCCGACCTGGTCCTGGCAAATACGGGGGGTGGGGAGGGACAAGTCCGGAAAGGGGAAAGGCACCTAAAGGTGAGAAGCACAGCAGCGGCGCAGCGCAGCACCCACGGCGACGCAGTCTCACCTCTAGGGTGGAGACAGTGCTGGTGAACAGGTCCTCTCCGTCCTCCAGGTCCTCAAAGTCTGTGGACTTCGCGTCCCCCAGCGGAGGAGGCTCCCTCTCGGCCGCCATCTTCACTAGCCAGGACGACTGCGCGAGCTGCGCCTCGCGGATCTGTCACGTGAGCACGCACGGCTGGGCTGGCGCGTCGATCCACCGCCCCCCCGCGCCTCTCCGGCCCCGCCCAGCCGCGTTCGGCCCCGCCCCCGGCCTCGAGACAGCGCCCGCCCTGAGCGCGACGCGCTTGGCCCCGCCCCTTTGCCTCTGCTCCTCCCACCTCCATGTCCGGGTAACGTCTTTTTCACTGCAGACTTGCTGACCTGAATTAGGCGGAGATTCTTGACCTTTGTTACCACGTCATCTTATTAGCAGAACCAAGCCAAATGATTTGTGTTGGCACTACCAGTTTTAAAATCTACTTTGGGAAGTGGAAGAGCTTGGGGACCAGTCTTTAGGCTTGGATTATACACAGAGAGCAAGATTGTGTATTGGTGGAAGAGAGACAGAGACTCTTTGTTAAATGTCTCCAGAGACATCCAGTAGAACTTTCTGACATGATGGAAATGTTCTATATCTGCGCTGTCTCATCCGGTTGTTTCTGTTTCTCTGGAGAACCCTAGCTAATACACAAGTATAGATTATCCTTTTAAGGAATCTAAATGGAAAAGAACGACAGCATAGGTCAATAACTTGTTAAGACCCAGCTTCGTTTTGTGTGTATTTGTTATTTAATGGGAGAGATTTAAACAGTTTATGAATAAAGGAAAGAGGTCAAAAGAGAGAAAGAGGTTGAAAATACAATATAGAGAGATACAGTTATGCATCGCTTAAGTGGGGATACATTTTGAGAAATACATCTTTAGGGAATTTCATCATTGTACGAACATCACAGAGTGCACTTACACAAACGTAGTTGGTATAACCTGCTACATACCTAGGCTATGTGGTATAGCCAATCTCATGGGACCACCGTCATATATGCGGTTCATCATTGACCGAAACATTGTTATGCAGCTCATGACTGTATAATCAAAAGGGATTAGGTTTGAAATGCAAGAATGGAATAAAGAGCAAGTACAGAATTTGCCTTAGAGAAGAGAATGGATACTCCTTCCTTCTAGTACAGAGATGTAGGTGAGAGTTTGTATAAGATAGTTATTGTTACAAAACAAACCATCCCCAAACTTGAACGATTTATTATTTCTCATGAGTCTACAGGTTAGCTAGATGCTTCTACCAAACCAGATTTGGCAAATCCTGTCTTTGAGCTTGTTCATGCCCTGTGGTCAGCTGATAGACTGGCAGGGGGTTAGCTGGACTAGGATGGTCTTGGCTAGGACAACTCAGTTCTGCACCACATGCTCTCACTCCAGCAGGCTAGCGTGGACTTCTTTTCAAGGCCCTGGCAGTGTTCCAAACAGAAGGTGAAACAGTACTTTTTCAAGCCTTCACAAAAGGAAGTTACAAGGTCAATCCCAGGGTGAGAATGGGAACGTACTACAAAATTGCAGGACAAAGGGTGTGGAAAAGGAGGCTATTAATGCAATCAGTTTTCCAGGAAGTGGATGGACTTGTGTGTAAATGTAGTGGCAGGAAATGAGAAAAGTACACACCCGAGTAATATTTTCTTTTCTATGAGGGAAGAAAGGTTGAGTGCTAAGAGAAGAGAGGTCAGTATCAGCATAGGTGGCATGAGGAAATTAAAGAGTGTTTTTATTAGATTGTATGTGGAATTGAAGAGAATATTCACCAGGGACATAAAAGGGATTGGCAAGTAGTATTGGAAACCTACATGAGGTGGAGACCATATGTTTCTGGTAGGAATAATTACATTTGTGAGATTTTTCACCAATAGCCTAGCAATGTTGATGTAGGAGTGGAGGTGGATGGTCAGGTTGATTCAAGGTTAGGCTTTTTTAGGATGATTTTGGTGAAAGTACAAGGCAGCTAAGGATTTTGAAGCTTCTCAATAGAGAGGACTGACTAGAAAAATGTGTAGTTTCCAATGACAAGGAGGAATAGCAGGGGCATGTATCTCAAAGAAGGAGGTATTTTTTTTCAAGGATACTAAAAAGTGATGATATGAAAGTGATATTTGGAACCTAATGCAAGCTGTATTTTTGACAAAAAGTAACATACTCATTTTACTCAAGGCAAGAAGGGGGAGACCCAGGAGAGACCTTATCTTTGAGCATAGCTTCTGGTGAGTAGGTGACATGCAGGTCAGCAGCTTTGAACAGGTAAGAATTCATTATGATCATTGCAATCATACTGGGAAAAATGATTGTTTGGTTGCTTAAATAAGTATGATTGGTTATTATTAAGTGAAAATATTTAAGCTTCTTTTTGGAAGGTATTGAAGGGTTTCATATTAAAAAGGAAGGGAGGGAGCGAGGGAGGGAGGAAAAGAAGGAGAGAGAAAGTCAAGCATAGTGTTCTTTTTCTCAATGGCCATAAATGCAAACAAATAAACCACCATTACTATAAAAGTCTCAGCCCCTAATCAGTGGCATTACTAATTCTTGTGAAATGCTTATATAATATGATCCCTATGTCTCAGTCCCTGAAAGATAGCAGAGTCTTCCAGACTAAAGCATCCTTTTATAACTGTTTCTTCAGCTATATTTTTTGAACACCATAAAGGCGGGACATGCACATCATAGCAACACTTGAAAAAACTAACAAGAAAACTTATATCCTGGGCTGGCCAGTTCACAGTTGGCTAGAGTACAGCCTTATAACCCCAAGGTCCCAGGTTCAGATCCCTGTACCATCCAGCTGCAAAAAAAGAAAACTTTTATCCTTTCTCTCCATTTTTAAAATCATGTCATGATGTAAACTGTGCCTCTCTCACTCCAAAATGCCCATGAAACAAAAACCTTACCCTTTGTCTCTAAGCATGTTTTCCTGCTGCCCAACTGCTCCCCTACCCCTCCACCCTGCAACAGAAGTGTCCAGAAGTCCATCACTGCATGGACCTCTCATGGATGTGAGACCTGTTTAGCCACGCAGGACCCACACTCAGAAGTGCTCCACGCTTGGTTTAATGCTGTGCTGTCACCACCTTAGAATTCTTACCAGGGAGTACATTTTCATCTTGCAGTGGGCTCTGTGAAGTATGTAGCCGATCCTGACTCTAGTCTGCCAGTTATGACAGCACCAGGGGACAGCAGGAGGATTGGGTGACTCATTGTGCCCAGGGCAGAGGAAAAATAGTTTGCGTTTCTCTCTCATGGCTTTTCCCAAGAGAATTGACTGGGAAATTGAGAATTGACTAGCTCTCACCTCTCTTTTTCTGGGAGGAGCAGGGGTGAATGTTGTAGACACTTACATAGTAAAAATTTTATCCCATCACACATCCTTTTGAGGGCAGTAAGTCAAGTTCAGGCATAAATTATGACATGTATCTGTACATGTTAACTTTACAACTGGCACATATAAAGAAAGGCTTAAAACAAATTTTCAGTAGAACAGAACATTAGCAAAAAAGTAAGGAAGGGAATATTTGATATTTCTGAGATACATTTTATGAATACAGCAGTCGAAGGCTGCTGCTGGTTAGCTCACCTGGTTAGAGCACAGTGCTGATACCACCAAGGTCAAGGGTTTGAATCTCTGCACTGGCCTACTGTTGGGGGTGGGGTGGGGAAAAGAATTCTAGGGACAGAGTTTTTTACTTTTTTTTTTTTGTGTGTGTGACCGGTAAGGGGATCGTAACCCTTGGCTTGGTGTCGCCCACACTGCACTCAGCCAGTGAGCACACCAGCCATCCCTATATAGGATCCGAACCCACGGCCTCGGCACTCCCAGCGCCGCACTCTCCCAAGTGAGCCACAGGGTTGGCCCCAGAGTTTTTTAAGTGAGATAAAATGATAATGAAAACTATTAAAACTATTGAGAAAAGAACTAAGGAAAATAAGATACAGCGTTTGGGATCAGGTAAAGAAACTGGACCCAAACCAAAACTAAACTAAAGTAAAAAACAGTTACTGCAACCTCTTTTTAAAAAAATTTTAGTCATGAACACTGTCTCCTCCATCAGAGACTTTTCTTGTTTCCTTGAAAGATTACATCTTTCTGTCCTTCATCACCCTTGACATGGTACCTTATACACTGTAGTCCTCAACTGATATTTGTTGTTTGGTTGAAAATAATAAATCTAAAAAAGAAACAGAGCCTATTCTTTTAGATCAAAGGAAGCAAAATGTTAGCCTGTGGGCGTAGCATGAATGGGTTTTATTGGCCCATGCTGTTTTTTCTTAATAGTTTAATCAACTAGCAACATTTAAGAATCAGGAAATTTCAAATAAAAATCCAAATTTCTGGCTTTTCTTTGAAAAACTAAAAGATCTGTTTGGATCCCCCTACCAGCCAGCCACAAACAAACAGAAACTAAAAGATCTGGCTACCTATGGTTCAGACCTCTGTGGGAACGTGCTTCCCTGTTCTCCATAGCCCCAATAAACCCTGTTGTCCATCTAACATGAATGCATTTTCCTCTCCTATGGCAGAGACTGTGGGTTGATCTTCAAAATTTATCTCTCCCACATTGTTCCTTAATAATAAGTCTCCTGGTTTCAGCAGCCACCAGAGCCACCCAGAATAAAGAGAACTTTTCCTCCTCCCTTACAGCCATGGGTGGCCATTGTGACTAATTTCTGGTCAGCCAAAAATATAAGCAGAGTTGTTTGTGCAACTTCTGGGAAATGTCTTTAAAAGGGAGAGGGTGCCCTTCTCTCACTTTCTCTTTCTGCAGGCTGGAATTCAAATGTGATTGCTGGAGCTCCTGCAGCTATCTTGAACCATAAGTAAAGTTGGGACTGGCAATAAAGTAAAGGGGCCTGACTCCCTGGCTTCGAGAATATGCTGCATCAGCCCAGAGATGTCTGCCTTGAGCTTTTATATGAGACAGAAACAATCTTTTGTCTTGTTTAAGGCACCACTGTTTGGGGATTTCTGTCACAGCCAAGTCTAATCCTAAGTGACACAGCTACAAATCATCTCTGAGAAGCAGAATTCTTCTTTGTCATGGCTACTATTACTAAAATGTAAATACTATGAAAGTCACAGTCTTTGG